TCCATCCGGTAGAGATCCCTCGCATACCTTATCCTCTAGCTTCCACTTATTAGCCACATAGTGCACTTGCTCCCTCCTCATTCTTTACAACATTAATCTCGATGGTTGATTCCTTCCTTTCAAGGACTTGTCGCCGATCTAGCTTTCTAGATCCACGGTTCTTCTTCTTAGGGACGTACTGTATCCTTAAGGGTTTCCCCAGTCAAGGTAAGTACCCGAACGTGCCTCCTCTTAGCCTTGACATACTGATCCCTTGAAATCTTTTCATGATCCCTATGACCCACTTAATTTCTTCTTTACCCTTCTTAAGCATCCCTAGCATTGCTTAAAGTCTAATCTCCATTACTCCTTGGGTCGTAGCACTATGCTCGATTCTCGCGAACTCCGCGGACCTTCCTTGCAGCTTTTCCTCTAGATTATGGCCGCCATTTGGTGTAACTTCGTGCCTACTGCATGTCGACGTCCTAGATACTTGGCGTCTTCCCGACCTTATACTGATCATCTCGAATTCCCATAGGTATGAGATGCCTTGAATCTCCTCTTTTCACTCATGAAAAGAGTCACTAAGCAGTCCTCTTAGGAATCTACTCCTTCTCCTTCTCGAGACATATCATAACCTCGTAAGATCTCCTAGACTTATTTTCCTTATCATGATTAGAGTATACTGGAGATTCAAAAATCCTCAATAGAACCCTTTTGACTCACTTAGTCAAACTTTTAAACTAACACCGATTTTTCCTTTCCTTTTAAAAGAAAAACCCTTGAAAAACACATATCATCACTCTAGTATTCCTTGGAGACCAAGGAATAGAGGAATCATAGCTCTGATACAAAAATGAAACAGCCTGATCCTTTTTGAAACCAAAACCATAACTCAATCCAAAAATCGGTTACTCCAGAGATACCCAAACCACTTTTTCAAATAAACAAACTAACAACGTTTAAGAATTTCAAACGAAAAGCCCTAACACTTGGGAAATAACAACCCAAAATACTTTGAACAACTTAACCCATGAACCTCCAATACATACTCAACCATGAGACAAAATAATAACTATTCTAATTCTGTCTCCTCACGAGCTCTTTGACTACTCATCAATGTTGGTACAACTGCTCGCCTCACCTTGCTTCTTCTCGGGATCCACCTCGTCTAACCCTTCCTCCACTTGGTGAGTCAGAAGGGGTCAGTCTCATCGTTACTTCCTAAAGTCTTTTCCCTAATCAAACCTTACTAGCACATTATTAAAAATTACTTTCCCTTACATGAAAGTCGTTCTCACTTTCATCCTTAATACTTTAGTCCTTAAGAACTCATAGAAGTTCTCTACTTCTATCTTAACTTATATACTTACTACTAGGGTTCACCGCATTACATATCTTCGTCCACTGTCCCTATCCTCAAGGCAATGGTACTGCGTTACGTATCGTCGTCCAGTAGTGACCCGACCATCTACTGCGTCCAGTAGCGGCCCAACAGCCCGGGGGTTCCATTACCATCAACCATAAATTAAAACCATACATTCATTCACATATATAACACAAAGCGTGCCTTCACCTTAACTAGGCGATGGGATGCCTCACACACATGATCGCGCAAACTCACAAATTAACTAGCATAACTTGAAATAAAAGATATAAACTAAAAGACCTCGACGAAGATTTTACCTCCCTTTACACTCACCTCGAAAAAACGACCCTTCTTTATTGTCGATTGCCCCACGCCATTGTCCGAGAACCCATGCTCAAACTCCTCGCGCTTTACCTCCTTGTGCATTTCCTCTTATTAAGTATTTAGGCAAAACTTAATACTTCTTTCTACTAGCGTTACTAGCCAAACGACCTCCAATTTGGTTAATTATAATCCAAAATTCCTTCATTTAACCTTTTCTAGGATTCCCCAGGAAATTCTGGAAAATTACCTGTTTGTCCCAAAATGGCAACTTATAGAATGGTACTCGAAATTCCTGAGTTTCACCAATTTTGCCCCAAACCTTCAGAATTGCCCAATTAAGTCCAACAGACCATTCTCACTTTCGGAATTTGACATTTCAGTCCCAAATGGCGTATTTCGATTCGATACCCAAACCTTTGCTATTGGCGAACCAATCCTTGGCCTGGTAAATTACTCATTGACACTCAATCTTTCCAAAACTTACCAATCTGTCCTAGCCCCCAAAAGACCCATTTGACCCTAACTATTTACCCAATTTAAAAAATCATGTCATTTCACTGCAGATAGATGGGAGAACTTCTCACCTGCACACCGCTGCAGCCGGCCTCCACGCTCCCTCAATCATCGTCGACGTCCACGATTCCCCGCCTACGACCTCCGTCTCCTCCCTCGAGCCCATCGTCGGTCCACTCCTCAGGCTCCTCTTCCTCCTCCTCAGACAATCCTGCGTCAGCCGCCGCTGTCGTCCGAAGCTTCACGACGGTGCCATTTTCGATGCCCCTTCCTCGGCCATAATTCGGAGGCCAATGACAGGTCGTGAACACCCCTAGTCGCTTCGGAGGGTAAGATCGCGGCTTTGACCCGCCACTGCATCATCTCTTACCTTGTCGGCTGATAACTCGATATTTGCACATGTTGTTATCCACCATTCTTATACTGTTTGAGGCTCGCTTCTGGTATTTTAAACCGATTTCACGCTAGGTTGTTCTTGTTAGCAATATTTCAGGTCCTAGTTCATGAATGGAGGTTTGGATACGAGTTTGGGGTCGATTGGACGAAGTTGGGACGTTCGATGGGAAGCTGAGGAGTTCACACGGAAGTTTCACGTGCAAGGCAGATTTCACGCGGCCGTTTGCGCGGCCAAAGCTGTACTGGCGGTGTAGAGGTGCAACTTGGCCGTACGGGGTGTCCAGGGAAGTTACACGGGCAAGGCAGATTTCATGCGGCCGTACCACTCTGGCTATGCACGACACCACGAGCTACTAATTGGAACGTTGCGTTTGGGAGAGCTGCACGAGCATGAGTGGGATTCCACACGGCTGTGCGTCTGGCCGTGTAATCGGGAACTTCTGGTTTTAACCCAATTTCAGGTTTGTGGAAAGAGGATTCGAGTTTGGAGAGCAAAAATAGAGTTCTAGAGAGAGAAAGGACGAAGAACAAAACCCTAAGATCGATCTTGGAGCTGGGTTTCATCAATCAACCTTGGATTTCGGCCATGAGTGAAGATTATTATCCTAGAGCTTATCATATAGATCATTATGAGTATGATTCCTCTTATTGCTGTTTTCTTCTCTCTTTTTATGGAGTAGATCCTTCTCTCACTTGGGTATGAAGAACTCTAGTTTCATGTGTTAGGGATTTGAATTGTAATGACTTTTGGATTGATATACTGATTGTTTTTAATCGATTTAAGTGTGTTTATTGAGTCAATTGAATCCTGATCAACTTCTCTTGATTTTTGCTTTAACCTTGGATAGATATAATCTGATTAGGTTGCTAGAGTTGCTTCAATCGATAGTAGTGAATTGATTGTACGAGATTCGGTCAATTCACTTCTTTGTACTGGAATCTATTTCCAGTAGTGGAGTTCTTTGTTAATTGCCTTAGCATTCTATCCCGGTGAAGATTAGTCGTCTTCCGGTTAGTCTGTCTGAGAGGGCTTGGTCAGCTTAAGAGATTCCAAGCTACTGTCGGATCTTCCGTAGTTTAATCAACAGTGAATCAACCAAAGGAAATTACAACTTGAACCTAACTAAGGAGCTAGGGGGACTCCATCCCGACTGAGTCTTCTCTTGCTTCTAGAAAACCGAACAATTTACTGCTTTCTTTCTGTTTTAGCTTGAATTAACCTTCACTCACTTAGTACCGCTAGATAATAGAATTTCACGGAGTAGGCAGTAGATCTACACCTTGGGTTGATAATTTAAACTTACCCACTATTCTGCATTTCCAGACTGCGATTATACTTGGTCGTAGTTTGGTGTTGTGTTTTAGCGAGTCATCGGCGTTGGGGTCAACATCGACTCCTGTCCTGGTCGCCATCGCCCCGCTAAGCCCATTGATCCCCATAGTCGTCCTTCAACCCTTCTCTCTTCCTTCTCCTGCGTTTTCCCAACTTGCCTATAACCTCTGTTCGTCGATCAGAAATAGAAGGAGTTAGCTTTCCCCTCCTCCCTTGTTTATTCGCCACTGATTTAGTCCCCTCCCTCACGAAGTTTGTTGAGGAAAAAAAAAACAATCCCACCGATCTGTTATAACTCAATAAATAGGCCATTTACTCCATTGAAAACCCCTTAGTCAATGTTTCCCTTATAACCCAATTTCCCGACAAAACTTCGGCTTCTCTCCGAGCCCCTGTCGCTGCTTTGTTCCGTTTTCCGTCGATATTCCAGAGGGGAGACGAGTCCTCTTTCTCCAACGACTAGGCCCGCTCTTCCCTTCTCTTCTGTGCCACCAGTCCAACTTTGGGTTTAAGCCCACTATTCTTTCCTCTAACCCCAGGCCACGAGCGGCCTAACTGCTTCCTATCTTTCTCTCTCCATCCGTCCGGCTTGAGCCTGCCCCCATTTCTTCTCCTTCTCGGGCCTAAAGCCTGCGTGTTCTGACCTAGTTCAGCAACCTACTTCATGACCCACTTTCCTCTTTAACTTACTCAACGGCCTTAAGCCCTCGTACTTCATAACCTGGCCCTCCAAGTAGCAAAAACAGGTCCACTTGGCCAGACTATTGATTGGGTTTTGGTTCAAACTTCAAACTCACAACCCAATCTACGTCCATAACTTCATCGTTTTATATCGAAATTCGACATTGTTCAAACCAATAGTTCACATTTTTAATCCTCCTCGATATTCCTGTTGAACTTGACGAATTAATCCAAGGGTTTTATAGTCATTTTGAATTTTAGAAAGAGAGGGGTGTAACAATAGGCCAAGGAACAAAGGAAACACTAACTTACCTAAAAAAATGAAAGCGACATTTTCATGGCTAACCACAACCTTCTCACCATTATCCCGGAAGAGATACTCATCTGCATCTTTGTCGTTGTAGCTGGCGACTCAGTCGAAAACCTTGTCAACACCAAGCTGACTTGCAAACCTTTCTTGAAGCATCTGTTGATGATTCTATCTACCGCAACGCCAACCTCACTCCATGCCCATCATCTCCGGGAAGATCTGCCCTTCTTCCACCTTCTTCCTCGATCAATGTTTTGCAAGAGAATCAATCAGCACCTGAGCATCAATGCAGTCAATTAGGGGATCCTTCATTTGAGAGAAGTTACATAGTCGGGTCACCCGAATCCATCTACTTCTACGGGATAGTCCGACTTTCTCAAGGCAACCATGAGGAAATGATGGCTCTCCTAGCCTCTCTGGAAGGCAGCTATGACGGACGTGGATGGTGGGGGACGGTGCGGTACAGTCGGGAGAGGGTTAGATCGGTCATCCAACATTTGTGAGTGAAGACGACCATGGCCGACCGCTGGAGCATAATCAAGGGTTCGGGTGTCGGTTATGAGTAAGGAAGGTATTAGCACCCTTATATCGCCCTAACTCGGTATTATAAATTTGGTTTCCCTTTTAATTTGATATTTGTTTGAAATTATTGGATTTACTTTTGAACATGATATGTCATTTCTTTAAAACGTATTACATGTTCATCAACATTGGAAGAAATGGTAAGGGTGTTTTTTGGGATGGAATTCGAATGAAGAATTGAACAGAACTGGTCGATCCCCCCTCCCTTCTTTGTTCTTATGTGCTTCTCTTATAGCACCAAAAACACAAAAGCAAATGCTCTTCTTCAATGCAAACCTAACTACCCATTTCTCTAATCAATTCTCCGTGTCCTACATCCAACTTCTCATTCCTTTCATTGATTTTTCTGCCTTGTACAACTTGCTAGCTTATGGGTGCTTGCTCCCCTTCTGATTTTGCAGGTGAAAGAAGCATAGAGAGCCATGGTGGAGAAGCAAATAATTAAGGCCTAAAGAAATACGATAAATGAGGTAGTAGAGCAAATATAACTTAGTTATATAACTTAGATGGATGACTTCTTATTAGCCTACAAATTTTTTTTATCATACTGAAAAATATAATAACCAAAAAAGATAAACAAATGTTTAATAAAAGGAGGAAAAACAGACCGATGACCTCACAGGTCGACGGAAGGTAAGTTTCCGGTAAGGCCAACCATGGATCCTTCGAAAGGGGTGAGGTAAGATAAGGAAATTAAATTATGATTAAATTAAATGAAGAGACTATTAAAGTTGGGTGGTGTTCCAGGGGGTAAGATACTATGTCTACCCTTAAAGGGGTTGGGTTTTTTGACACCCCCTTCTCAATTGGTGCATTTTTTCATTAATCATTGACAAGTATTAATGAAGGTAGAGATAAAAAAATGTTATGTTATTAAATACAAAGTAATCATTAAATACACCACATTAATTACTTGTTTAAAAAAAAAGTAAACATATACAAAATACAATTCTCTCTCTCATTTTTTATCTTTCTCACTCCTATCTCTGATTCTTCCTTTCCCAACAGCCTCCGACAACCACACTTCACCGGTAAAATCCCGCCGACAGACTCTTTCGGTCACCTGCAAAAATATACCACTGCATTGATATGTTGTACCACTGTACTGGTATTTGTACCACTGCACTAATACTCAGTAATGACATTGATACCAGTGCACTGATATCGCTACCAGTGCATTGGTACAACGTATCAGTGCAGTGGTATATGTTTTGCAGGTGGTCGGAGGGAGTCTGCCGATGGGATTTTCACCGGAGAAGTGTGGTGGTCGGAAGAAGCCTGGTGGTCGAGGCTGCTGAAAAAGGAAAAGTCAGATATATAGAGAGAGAATGTATTTAGTGTAGGTTTGAATTTGAAAAAAAAAACAAATAATTAATATGGTGCATTTAATTCCCAGTGTGTATTTAATGTTTGTATTAAATTCTGAAATTGTATTTAGTATCCCGAGGGTGTCATTTTTCCAACCCTCAAGGGGGTTAGCATGCTAACCGACCCCGTATTCCAGTGAACTTTGGGAGCTAATTTCATTTCACGCCATCTTTCCGGGGGGTTAGTGATTAATTTAGTGAGTTAAGCTCATGACATGTTTGAATTTTTTTATTTTTGGTCGAATGACATGTTTGAATTTAACTAATGAGAAATCAAGTTTCTAATTATCATTAAACAAATGTTGCGAGTTTAGTTCAATTTTAACTCAACAAGGTTTGATTCAAAGACAGTTCCTAAAAATTGGACCATTAAGTTATATATATAGAGAGAGGAGTTTTTTTTTACAAGAGTCGGCTTCATTTTATTCTAATCTTAACCAGTGAAAACATTACAATTCACAGCAGTGGCCCTATAAGATTCGCAACAACAATTCATTCTTTAGACTTAGAGAGCAAGTAATGTTCTGCATTATGTGCAACCAAATCGGCCAACGAGTTTAAGTTATGGTATGATTTCGGTTTGGTTCCTCATGTGTTCTTGTTCATTTTGATTAGGGGGTTTCTCGAGGAAGCTCGTGTCCCGCCGACCACGACGAAAGGAAACCAGCCGATGGAGAGGAGATTTAGGTAAATTGATCGTTCTTATTTTATTTTAACCATACGATGTTAATTATATTGTAATCAATTAATTTAGCATAATGTCATTAAGTACTAGCTCATCATTATTAGCAGCTACCTTCTTGGTCACAATTATCTCATGGCTCGCCACAAACTCATCACCGTTGTCCCGAAGGACATACTCATTCGCATCTTGGCGCTGATAGTTGGCGACTCGGCGAGGGACCTCGTCAACACCAAGTTGACGTGCAACCCCCTCCTTGAAGCATCTGCGGATGATTCCGTCTACCGCAGTGCCAACCTCACTCCATTCCCCGTCTTCTCTTGGAGTATCAACCCTTCTGCCACCTCCTTCCTCGATCGATGCATTGCTAGCGGCAACCCAGAAGCATTCTTCCGCACCGGAATCAAGGAGTACCTGAGCAGCAATGCAATCGACTCGGGGATGAGAGAGGCTGCAGATTCGGGTCACCCTGAGTCGATATACTTCTACGGGATAGCCCGACTTTCTCGAGGCGAGCACGGGACAGGGATGGCTCTCCTGACCTCTCTGGGAGGTAGTTTCGGCGGGGATAGATGGATGGAAACAGTGCGATACTGCCGGGAGAGGGTCAGATCGGTCATCCAACATTTGTGTGTGAGGACGACTTTGGTTGAGCCGCTGGAGCAGAATCAAGGGAGGAGGATTTGCAGCTGCGATGATTCGGCGGTGTCGGGGAATGTCGGTAGAGACGAAGAATGGGAGTCAAAGGAGGACATCGAGCTCCATTTCTACGCCACCAGCGGTGTCTAAGTGGGTTAATTAACAATGATTAATTTAAAATCTCTTCATTGTTATCGAAATACCATTTGTTGCTTTTTCATCTCAAAACAAACGACAATAACTTAGAGTCCTTAATCGACATAGTGGAATTAGTTCCAGTATATATATTCGTGATAATTTCCTTCACACATTCTTACAAAAGGATCTCAAAGGTCTACACATATAAGACAAATATAGAAAATCTATGTTATATAACAAAATATATATATATATAACATAAATGAAAAGTAACATATATGTCACATATGCTGAGATCTTTTAGACAAAACCCAAAGGAAGTGAAAGAAAATCCATTAATAATTAGTTACTGCCTTGTGAATCCATTAATAACAACTTATTGTAGGATGATTAGATAGTGAGGGGATATGGAATTGCAATCATACCCAATGGTACAGGCGAAACCCCTAGAATATGTACAACATTATACAGGTAACTAACTATATATATGTTAATTGTGAATTTAGAAGAGAGAAAGACGAGGATCTCGCGGATACATACGATTTCGAAGAATATGTGTGATTCATTCATAACATCTCGTTCTTTTATCAATAATTTCACTAATTAATATGTTTCCACAAATAATTGAACGGGGAGTGACATAAATTACAAAAATGTAGCAGCCAAAATTATTAGTCTAAATAATATTAGTAGAAGCATCGTAGTAGAGATAATAATTGTAAATGAGTTCAATTAGTGAACAATAATTCACCCTCCAATATTTATTCTTTCATAGGAATTTGAACAAAAATCAGCATAACCTAATTGTTAAAGCTGCAAAGAAAAATAAAACTACTCGAATCGATTTCGTTCAAAAGAACAACTAGCGCTAGCTTGGATGGAAGAAGACTGGGTTGTATAATTTTAGATCATGTCTCTTTTTCTTTCTGCCGCTTGGCTCCCTTAATAAATCCATTATAATAATAGTTTAAAAGTCCAAAGTAGGGGTGGGCAACGGGACGGGACGGGATACCCGTCCCGTTTTAAACGGGTACCCAGTCCCATTTGGAGACCAAAGTCCATCCCATATCCCAAACCCATATGGGAAACGGGTACCCATTACCCGTACGGGACGGATAGCGGGTACCCATACTACCCATAAATACCCAAAGTTTAAACAACTAAAATTTCAACAAAAGTTTAAACTTAACTTGTATTTGCTTAACAATAACAAGACACAAAATACATCCCAATCACAAATACTTGGTTTGCAAATTACACATTCATGAACAATCACAACACATAGAAATAAATCATTCCAAGTACCAAATTATCAAAAAAAAAAGTTTCATTCAACACATCCCAACTCTCTCTACTAATTCACCAAACATGTCAGTGAAAGAGTGAAATAGTAAGGGCCCAAATGGAATTGATTTTGAAAGGGTAAGGGCCGAAATGGCCAATGGGTTTTGAATTGGGTTGGGTTGAATTAAATTTCTGCATTTGTATTGAATGGGTATAATGGGTACCCATATTACCCACCCGCGGGTACCCATATTAGGAATGTACAATCCCAAGTCCCATCCGTTTATAATATTACGGGTAATATGGGTACCCGTAACCCTTAAAAAACGGGACGGGTACGGGTATACCCAAATACCCGTTTCCCGTTGCCCACCCCTAGTCCAAAGTGCCTTCCCGTGGTTTGCGCTATGTACATGGGTGTTGGGCCGTGCTTGGACCGGCACGGCACAGACACGCTTCGGACCATTTATTTCATGTCGTGCTTGACACGATTCGTCAGTTTTCATGTTGTGCCATGCATGTCTCTTTTTTATATGCGTATACAATTGCATATGTTGCAAGCTTACAAATATACAATTGGTAGTCACATCAATGCAATTTATTTTGCAATTGTAAACACTCATATCATCTTGTAATTGAGATTGCAATACCAATGTGGATGCTCTTAGAATTATATAGAAATTAAAGATGTTTGATATAAGTGACTAATTTTGTAGAATAGGAACGTGCCTCGTGAATTATGGTAGGGCATGAAACTTATTATTGTGTTATAGGATTGGATGATACTTGGTATAGTTTAGTAAATTTTTGGAATCGGAATATGATCGTGAATACATTATCATGTCGGTTAAAATTTTTATTTTAACATATATTAAAATCTAATTATTCTGTATCAAATATTTGTATTTGAAATGGAACGGAAGAAATATGATCCAATTAAGAATAATAAGAGAACTGAAAAATAGAAGAGAAATAATATATCATATGGAAAAATATAATTGAATGACTAGGAAGTTTAAAAAATAATTAAAAATAACTAAAGTATAGTTCCGATTTAGACCATTTAAACCATTAAATCTATACAAAAACATATAGATGATTACAAAAGGAGCTCACGCGATACAATGAATTGAGTAAATTTGAAATGATGAAAGTAGATAAAGAAGGTGTATCATGCAAGGTTCAAGAAAGTGCTAGTGCTAGGTAGACATCCTAGCATGCTTAAGAAACACTTAGGAGACGCCTAGGCATTTTAAGAGAAAATACCGTTTGTACTTTTTAGTAGAAACAACAGTAGCACTTTCCACTTTGACGGCGACGACGAAAAGTAAGCAAGAGAGCAAAAGGGAAGGAGCGAAAATGAGAAACCGTTGCAGTCCTGAATTCTTTGACATAGAATTGCAAGTTTTCAAATGGAGGGAGTGAAGGACGCGTCGAATATATGACAGTTGAAAATTACGTCTTTATGGGAATATATGACCTTTAGGCATGTTTCAACAGGTCGTATTGATTCAACCTAATTCGGAATGTAAATAGATCACTGTGTATGTTTCCATGACTCACCATTTCACCTAGCCACTGTAGAAATCGGTCTCTTACAGTTACAACTTACATCCATAAATTAGACAAGTAAAGTTATATATCAGAACGACCAATTAGACCTAAACATCAACCCACATATCCTGGAATTCCCATCCCCTGCACAAGCAAAACCTGGCTTCAAGCAGAACTTCTTCCCAACGTTGAACTTCAGGTACGCCTCTGCTCCAAACCTGTTCGACCTAATTCCGCTGTTATCCCTCTCCCCGCCAACACTGATCCCCCATCCATCCTCCGAATCATCAATCCTACTCAATCCCCATTGCACGATGCTCGACCCGTTCGAGTTATTCATCTGCATCCAACCCTCCATCCTCGTGTCTTCATCAACCTGGCTCTCCAACTTCACAGCAATGGACCCCGTTGAGGTCAGTTCAAATAGGTTTGTCTCCAGTGGTTCAAAGACCGGGTCGTGAGGAGCATTTGGGTGTGGATTCAAAATGGCCACAGGGATCGTGAGAGCTCCTCGGTTGACAAAGTGGCGAGAAGATTTAAGCCGTTTGTGGACCCCCGAGACTGAGAGCTTCAATCCTTTTGGTAGTTGGCATGCAATTTGGCCAAATGTGCTGAAGTAATGCTCTGATGAATATAGGTCTGATTTCCGAAGTCCGGATAGGGAACTAGAAAAAGAAGCCACGAGATTCGACTTTCTCACTGTGAAACCGATGGCTGAACCACTATGTTCATTCATGAGAGGAGGACCGATTGCTGAAAGCTCTGTCAAGCCCTTTATCTGTAATGAAGACAGACCATTTCAATGTTGAATTATGAGGGTGAACAACAGCAAATTGTATTGAGATATTACAAGAGTTATGCTCACACCAGCAATATTCACCCGATAAAGTTTGTCAATTACAACTTTTTATCCATATTCATTATCAATCAGGAATGACAATATTAAAATATCAATCATCAGATCTGTGTAGTAGCAACTATTAAAAAAAAGCCTCTAGATTCTACCCAGTTCATTGATTCCAGTAGTGAAAGCATAAAATTGTGTGAAAATAGCTTTTACCATAGGATTAGACTCTGTACGGTTAAGTAAACTCATAAAGCATAAGCCATTTAGGAATTTGACTCGAGATTCTGACTATTGGTTCTCCTAAATACCACTTTTGGTCTATAACTCAGGCAATTGATTCAAGCATATTTCACAATCTAAATTGAAGCTCAGAAAAAACTTCAGTTGCTCAAATAGTGAACAAGGTTTAGTACAGGTGAAGCTCAACCGCACCTGATTTGAAGAATCCATAGTGAACCCCAGATGCCTGAACTGAGCTCCAACCGGCATTACAGTAGCTGATAACCAGTCACGAATGTTTGACATGAATAATAGTTTCGACAGACAAAGCGTCGTGCTCCCCAAAATATCACCACCGTTGCTACCTCCCGTGCCAAACTCTGCTACGAGTTTATCATTCTCCCGTATGGGAGCCTCAAAGGATATCTTCGATCTAATGCCACCATTCTTCCCAAGGCCAAGAGAGTCGTGGTGATCAAACTGATCGAAGTTGCTGCCCATAAGCAGTATAGCACCTAGGGCATCGATCTCTCCCCTTACATGAGTACCACCTGAGTTTTGAAATGGATTTCCCTTGGCGATTTTCTGGAAAGAGACCGTTCGCTCGAGCTTGTCCTGCCTCTCTCTGAGCTTCATTAGGTCAGTGAATGATTCCCGCTGTAATCGCTTGAGGATCTCAATCTGCATCACATCCACAATCCACGAAGATCTAATCAAGATCATGAAAACGACCTTCAAATCAAACTGTAACATCCCCATTACCTTTCGTAGGAAGGGTTTGATTAGCTACAAACAAATTTCGCCCCATTTCGAAATTTCCCACAGAATTCCATTTCTAAGAGCAGTGAAACAAATGCTAAACTGGACTTCACTGTCTAGATTCACATTATTGGCGGGGAATACATGAAAGTTTCAGAGTTCTTCAACGCATCTACGGGGAAAGCCGTGAAGTGGAGAAGTGACGGGTGGAGGAGTTTACCGGATTGCGGCGGGAAGACTTGGCGCGATTGTGGAAGAGGCCATCGAAGAAGTCTTGAGTTGACTTCTTTAAGTCTTTGATTTTGCCGACGACGGGCTCCATTTCTTCCTCCGCAGAAACCCTAGAAACGGGAGCCGGCGACAGCTGGTGGAGGAACTGGAAGAAGTGCAGCGGTTGCGGAAAGGGTGGCGCTTTCTTTTGGTGGGTGGCGGAATCGGCAATGACTCACCCGGACACAACTCGCTCCGAGTTTAGAGTTTAGACACGTAATCAGTTGGGAGTTGGGACAGAGGCAAGGTTGTCAAACTAGTCTAACACGTAGAGTTGGTCAAACAAATTACAAGTGGTTTGAGTTTCAATTGTCGTACCGAAGTCCAATCAAGTTAAGTAAATTATAAAAATATGAGTATAGTAGTAATTTAAAATTTTAATAACTGAAAGTAATTTGATAGGTATCATATAATAATTTAACAATTAGTTGTTGATCTATTATTTGATCCTAAAAGCTAAGTGTATATGCTTTGTTTTCCGGAATAAAGTTTGGTAGAAACCCGAAACGATAATAATTTGTCTATTCAATCCTGCAAGACCAACAATTTTTGTGGTTTTGATGGCTCCGGTTGGACACGATCCAACTAGATATCACACCCACCTTCATCAATACGATAACAAATAGTTTTTTTTTATTTTTTATTTTTGTCGTGAGCATAAATGACCCATGATCATTTTAAGAGGTTTTGCAACATCTATGATACTGTTTACACCCAAAATATTGTTGGCCGGGATTAAATGCCGCATTAATTAGTCTCGGCATTTAATTCGATGCCGCAGGTTAAAAAACGGTACCGCAAGAGAGCTCGCCGGTACCGCAAGGAAGCTGACCGGTACCGCAACACCGGAGACGACACCGCAGGCCGAAAATAAAGAGGTCGCTCGTTTAATGAAGGGGAGGAGGAATTGTGATTATTTAATTATTATTTGTTATTCCTTTGGAGTAAAACGGTACCGCAAGGAGGCTCAGCGGTACCGCGGTACTGGAAACGATACGGAAGAATAAAAAGAAGAAGGGCCGCGCGTGGGGTGTCTTATGGGAGAAGGAGTTTGTTTTTAATTAATTAATATTGTTAATCCTTGTTGGAGGAGGAAAATCGGTACCGCGAGAGCTTGGCAAGCGGTACCGATGGGCAAGGGACCAAAATTCACACGCCCAATGCGAGCGCCGACTCCGGCGGTACCGTGGATTAATATTTTTGGCTAAATCGACGGTGTCGTTTAATTTAAAACGGTACCGCGAGTAGACCCAACGGTACCGCGGATTAGCAAACGACAGTGTTTAATAAAAAAACAATGTCGCAAAAGGCAAAACAAACGGAGCCGTTTTGGCTCTAACGATGTTGTTGTTCGTGGACTAGTGATGGTCAGTTAATTAATATTTTAATGACTTTTTAGCACGGTGTCGTTAGTTGGAAACGATGCCGCAAAGGAAAGAAACGATACCGCGAGCAGGCCAAACGATGCCGCAACCGTTAAAACGACATTGTTTAAGATTAAAACAGTGTCGCGAGGGTCAAAAAATTTAACGACGTCGCGGGACAAAGAAACGATGTTGTTTAACTAAGAACGACGCCGAGGGGTGAGAGTTTGGCAATGCGGGTGTTTTAATTAATTAGCTTTGTATAACTATTTTAGACGGCGTCGTTTGAATACGATGCCGCGGAAGGTAAAAACAACCATGCGGTACTAGGAAAGGAACGACATTGTTTAGTCAAAGACAATGTTGCAAGAGTTTAATAGGGTCGTGAAAGCGATGCCGTTTTGCCCAAAACAAGGTCGCGAGCTCGACGACGTTGATGAGCTTTAGTTCAGTGTTGAGAAATTCAGCAACACCGTGAATTCAACAAAGTTAGGCATCAATGGTGGGAATCCGACGAGGCCGGGATGCTAAGAGCTACGTCAATGTTGTAAGCCATGAATCACCATCGAAAGTGACATTGATATTGTGAGTGCATCGATGTTGCAAGGCTGGGAGCTCAGCGTTGCGGTGTTGTTTGTCATACGCCGCCGTTTGATGAACAAGAATGAATGTAGTTTGGCTTGAGGAGTTGGGGGTGGATTATCGAACCCGGGTGGATAATTACAAGGGTGGCTCAATGTCGTTTTGTCGAGTTGCTGCTCAGCAAAGCGGTTTCGCACTCGTGGGAGTTACGCAACAAGGAGGAAGTTACCTGCACGGTTGACAGGAGTGAAGACGTGGGCGACAAAGGCGCGAAGGCAGTTACGGCGACGAGAAGAAGCGCGAAGTATAAAGATTGGGAAGAGAGAGAAGTTCGAGACGGCAAAATCAAATCACAACTGCACCATTGCAGAATTATCCTTTTTCTCTCTAGTTTCGTAGAACCGCTCTGTCAAAGAACTCCTTTGCACAGTCGTAGATCGTAGCTTGTAGTCGTAGTCGCGGAGCTCTCCAGAGGAACCTCCATAGGAGTAGAGGTAACGTAACTTAGAACACTCCTGGTTCGATTTTCTGTTTATTCGAACAACCTCGTTCGAACGTAGTTTGGAGAGGTGTTGAACTGAATAACAGTTGTTTGATTAGAAGTCAAAGGTGTATCGATCAAATCAACGACGCCGACACCGGCGGCGGCCATTTGACGATCGTCTTTGTTTCTATTTTAATCGATCAAATCAACGGCGCCGACACCGGCGGCGGATATTTGACGGTTGTGATTGACGTGTGTTTTTGTGTTTTTCTTGAAAACCGTGCACAGTTAACACACGAGTTTCGCCAACGAAACAAATTGGCACACCTGGTGGGACACGTGTGTTCGAATGGCTCCGCGACGAAGGAATCCGGAAGGGGATGTCCCGCCCGGAATCATGGAGGAACATGTGGCCAACATTGAAGGAGGCCAAGGAATCGGTGCTGAAGACATCGGCGGGTCCGAGAATCCGCCGTCCACAGCTGGGCCGACTGGGGATCTGTCAATCCGCCATTTCATGGAGGAGAATCGTCGCATGTTTGCTAGCCTCAACAATGAGTTCGCAGGCTTCAAAGGCGAGGTAAATCAACGTTTTAACGCTTTAACTGCACGACATGATTCTCTTGAGTCTCGTGTTGATAGGCGTTTAGGCCAACTCTTTGAAGTTGTGACTAAAAACAGACATGATTTTGATGTTTTCGGGGATAAAAATCTACGTGATATGAATGAAATCAGGGAGCTCTTGGGTAGACCAGTAACGCAACCTAGGGATTTGCCGCTAAACGGTGAAAACAATTTAAACAGCGAAACTGGTTTTCCAAACAACAGTGCTCGAATTAGTCCGCCAAGACAAGGAGCTTCGCCGACACCGGTGATGAACCCACCAACTCCGCGAGTTAATCTTGGCGAGACTAGCACTGCCGCTCACACTCGGGTTGAACCACCGCCGTTTCACGGTGGAGGTCCACAAAATATTCCGGAGGCCAGACCTTACGTGGCTCCGATGAGCGGTGCTGGTGGTGGAGGAACGATCAACAATGATCATGTTCCGCCACGCGGCTACCCACAAAACGTGCCTCCGCCTCCAAACGGGCTTGGCATGGATCCTGGTGGATTCATACCACAAGGGGGGCAACTCGGGGGGCAAGACGTTAATGCGATTCGAGATCAAGTAGCACAGATGCTGGCGGATCAGTTTGGTTTAGGGATTAGACCAGCGATGCCGCCGGTGTATCGAAAACCATATCCGGATTGGGTTGATAGATACTACCCCTTTCCACGTGGTTTTCGCGTGCCTGATTTCATCACCTTCAGCGGGACTGGGGATCAGTCCACCGTCGAGCATGTTGGACGATTCACGGTTCAGTGTGGTGATGTGAGTGATTTCTTGAAGTTGCGTTTGTTTGGCAACTCGTTGACCGGCCCTGCATTCGCATGGTACGTCAACTTGCCATCGAACTCGGTTCAAACTTGGCAGCAAATGGAACAAATGTTCCATGCCCAGTTTTACCGTTCTGAGCCAGAGGTGACAATGGCAGACTTGGCACGAATGCGCCAACAGCCAGGAGAAACAGTGGAACACTTTTTAACGAACTTTAAAAATGCAAGAAATCGCTGTTTTGTGAACTTGACAGAACGCGAGTTTGTTAAACTAGCCCAGGGTGGATTGAATTTTGAACTTCGTAAAAAGTTTCAAGATAGGGAGTTTTCTGATTTGTTTCAATTGATGTCCTGCGCTGTTAGATATGAATCTCTTCTCCGTGAAGAAGAACATAGGAGAAGTGGCTCTCGCGGACAATATTTCCCTAATTTTGAAAACTATGGTGTGAATAACGTCGGCAACGATGTTGACGAAGTTGAAGTTGATTTGGCCGAGATTGTGCAGGGGAAGCCATATGTGTGTGCTTCTCTAGCCAAGGCCGATGGGGAACCACAAGGTGGAAAGCCCAATCGTGCCCCGATTCAAACTAGAAAATATTCCTTTGATATCTCAAAATCAGAACTGATTTTCGACCAGCTTTACAAAGATGGTCAAATTAAGTTGACTGGGGGGCATACTATCCCGCCAGCTGAAAAATTAAAAGGGAAACGATACTGTAAATGGCACAACAGTGCATCTCATTCAACTAACATGTGTGTTGTGTTTCGCAACGTTGTGCAGGATGCAATTGAGAAAGGTCGGTTCAAGTTCCCAGAGCCGAGGAAGGAGGCCATGATTGTTGACACAGACCCGTTCCCAAACGTTGTCGGCGTCAACATGGTCAATCCCGATTTCTCTAAGATCAACCTGCCACGCTTCAAGTTGGTGGTGGACACATCGCCGCCGCCGAGTGGTAGTTCTGATGTGGCCCAGGGAGCTTCATCCTCCCAAGTGCAGGAGGGGCCACGCTTGGACCCAGTTGAGGAAGAGAAGTTGTGTGCCCAGTGTCGCGGAAAGCTAACCATTGGGGGAGCGGGACCGAGCCAGTCGGTCCACCAGAGATTGGGACCACGACAGTTCAAACCGAGGTATCCCTCATATGAACGCAGTGTCGAAGGAGTACGTGCACCTGCGTGGGGAAGAGGGCAGCGTAGGCAGTGGGTTGCTCAAAGTGCCCCGCCTTTCAAAAGTCTACCTTTTGGGCTTGCCCAACCAGTGAGGGGTCCCCCACCTGTCAGGAGAACCTTCAGGATGCCAAATGTGCCACGGGGTGGTTGGCACACCTACGACGTCCGTCGTCAGCAGCCCATCGCAGTTGA